ATAAAACAGAAAGCAAAATAAGAATAATAATAACATTAATAATAATTATAAATTCAATAATCTAAATGACCTAAGTAAAACTAATAAACGGATTTTGTTCAGCAGACACCGAGAATTCAATTGTAACAATTAACGTACAACACATCAGTAATCTGTAAACCAGCTATATAAACAAACTACTTACCGACTCCTCAATTTGCACTCTCCTGAAATAAATAACACAAAATTGACATAATCAAGCAAAATAAACTAATTTAATTTAACTGAATGAAAATTAGAAAGTAAAATAACAATAATAATAACATTAATAATAATTATAAATAACTAAAATATATATTAATAACTAAATAACACAAAATTGTCATTCTGTATTTAATTAAATATAACTGAATGAATGAATGAAATTTAAAACAACTGAATGAAAATTAGAAAGTAATATAACAATAATAATAATATCAATAATAATTATAAATAACTAATATATATATATAAATAACTAAATAACACAAAATTGAAATAATCAAGCAAAATAAACTACTTTAATATAACTAAATGAAAATTAGAAAGTAATATAACAATAATAATTTTTATAAATAACTAAAACGCTTTCCTGCTGTAAAGCTGTGTTAGCAGTTTGATTGTCTTCACTTATGAATTTAAACGCCACTCCATACCCCGATATTGGCCACGCAAACAAACAAAACGCCTTCCCGGGCACGCTTAATCTGGAAAAAATAAAATAAAAACACCAGTAATCTGTAAAAGAGCTAAACAAACAAACTACTTACCGACTCCTTAACTTGCACAAACCTGAAATAAATAAAACAAAATTATATAGCTAAGCAAAATAAAATAATTTAATATGTAAACGAGCTAAATAAACAAACTACTTACCGACTCCTCAATTTGCACTCTCCTGTAATAAATAACGCAAAATTGATATAACTAAACAATATAAACTAATTTAATATAACAGAATAAAAATAGAAAGTAAAATGGCAATAATAATAACGTTAATAATAATTATAAATTCAACAAACTAAATGACTTAAGTAAAACTAATAAACTATGGAATATGGCCAGCAGATACCGAGAATTAAATTATAACAATTAACGTAAACGAAAGCAAATTGTCCGATAATTCTGCCCTTCACGACTGTAAATATAATAAAATCGAAAAAAGGGTGAAAATAAACGATGAATGTCTTAAATATCGATTAAATGTGAAAAGAAAAGCTAAACAATAACAATCATCGCATAAATATATCGACTAATTGGCAGACCTACAAGCATATAAGCGCACAAAGTAAAATCAAAAGTGACGCCAATTCAATCTACTTTTCTCTACGTGCAATCAAATATAAATTCGCTCTTGTTAAAAAGAATACCTTCACGGACCTAAATAAAACACAAAACTACAAAGTAACTCAAAACCAAAATGCAACTATCTTTATTCAAATAAAATAGAAAACTTTTAAATAAACAACAAGCAATTAAATCTCAAAATACGGTGGACCTGCAAACATATAGTCGAACAAAGCAAAACCAAAAGTGACGCCATTTCAACCTACCTTACTCTTCGCTTAATCAAAATATAAATTTGCATTTGCAACTAAGAATACCTGCACCGACATAAATAACACACAAACTATAAATTTAACAGAAAGCCAAAATGCAATAAACTTTATCCAAACTAAAATAGAAAACATTTAAATAAGCAACTAGCAATTAAACCTCAATATACTGAAGACCTGCAAACTCATTATTGAACAAAGTGAAACCAAAAGTTACGCCATTTCAACCTATCCTGCTCTTCGTATAACCAAAACATAAAATCTCACTTACAAATAATAATACCCTCACGGACTTAAATAAAACACAAAGCTACAAAAATTAACTTAAAACCAAATGCAATAAGCTTTATTCAAATCAAAAAAAAAAATTTAAATAAAAAAAAAAAAAAAAAAAAAAAAAAAAAAAAAAAAAAAAAATAACAAGCAATTAAACCTCGATATATGACAACATGCTGAGCCCTGTTGGATGACCACTGATGGATGACCCGTGTGGATGACCTTGGTGGATGACCCTGGTGGATGATCCTGATGACAGCTGCAGACACCTGGAAAAGACGAACGCAAAATTATTAATATTTTAAAATAGAATATACTTATAAGATATCAAACTAAACATAAAATATTCGCTAATTACTAATTTCTTATCTTACCTAATTACCTCTCATCAATTAATATCAGTTTTTTCTAGTTATATCTTTAATATTAATTCACTTCAGATATCGTACTACTCTGAAGAGCTAAGATACTTACTTGCTTTTCGCAATTAAAATCATAAAACTTGATTACAACTATAAGTAAAACTAAACAATTTTTTCTACATATGTTAAAGTCTAAGCTACGGCTATTAAATATCTGTTTTTTCTAGTTATATCTTTAATATTAATTCACTTCAGATATCGTACTACTCTGAAGAGCTAAGATACTTACTTGCTTTTCGCAATTAAAATCATAAAACTTGATTATAACTATAAGTAAAACTAAACAATTTTTTCTACATATCTTAAATTCTAAGCTACGACTATTTGCTACCTTTACTCTAGTAATTACATTAAACATAAGACACTATTCAGCTCAGAAAATGCAAAGACTTTGCCCTGATTCTTCACGAAAATTCAATTTACTCATTTTGATCAATATTACAAATTCTTAACCTGTAAATATTTGCTAATAACAAATTTATTATCTTATCTAGTAACCTCTCAGTAATTGATATCAGTGTATCTAATTAATATATTAATAATAGTAACTCTTATCATTTATTCTACTCCTATGAAAACGCTAAGATACTCCCTTGTTTTTTGCAATTAAATCATAAAACTTGATTGTTCAATTATTTTTTAAACTAAATAATTTTCTATGTTACTGAAAGAATCAACAATGGACATTTACTACCATATCCCTTAGTTTTATATTAAGCATGTGATACCATGCAACTCAGAAAATGCAAAGACTTTGTCCTGCTTTTTCACGCTAATTCAAATCATTAACTTTGTTCAATATTTGCTAATATAAATCCTGTTACTACCTTTTAAATCCTACATTTACTAAAATATTATTTTCGGCAAATTTCTTCCTTTATACTTAGTTTATAAGCTAGTATGTAAGGTGCTATGTTAAATTTCTAAAAAGAGCCATTGTAAGGCACTGAGAAATAAAGAGACACCTCGCTTCTATCCCCTCCTCTTATAGCTGCAGAGCAGCTGTTAAGAACGAGAAGATACAAACAAGGTGCAATTGTGTATGGCAATAGACTATACAAAGTTGAAAACAGTTTGATTGTCTTCACTTCTGAATTTAAACGCCACTCCATACCCCGATATTGGCCACGCAAACAAACAAAACGCCTTCCCGGGCACGCTTAATCTGGAAAAATAAAATAAAAACACCAGTAATCTGTAAAAGAGCTAAACAAACAAACTACTTACCGACTCCTTAACTTGCACAAACCTGAAATAAATAAAACAAAATTATATAGCTAAGCAAAATAAAATAATTTTATATATAAAAAAAAAAAAAAAAAAAAAAAATTAAAAATATTCAATTTGCACTCTCCTGTAATAAATAACGCAAAATTGATATAATTAAACAATATAAACTAATTTAATATAACAGAATAAAAATAGAAAGTAAAATGGCAATAATAATAACGTTAATAATAATTATAAATTCAACAAACTAAATGACTTAAGTAAAACTAATAAACTATGGAATATGGCCAGCAGACACCGAGAATTAAATTATAACAATTAACGTAAACGAAAGCAAATTGTCCGATAATTCTGCCCTTCACGACTGTAAATATAATAAAATCGGAAAAAAGGGTGAAAATAAACGATGAATGTCTTAAATATCGATTAAATGTGAAAAGAAAAGCTAAACAATAACAATCATCGCATAAATATATCGACTAATTGGCAGACCTACAAGCATATAAGCGCACAAAGTAAAATCAAAAGTGACGCCAATTCAATCTACTTTTCTCTACGTGCAATCAAATATAAATTCGCACTTGTTAAAAAGAATACCTTCACGGACCTAAATAAAACACAAAACTACAAAGTAACTCAAAACCAAAATGCAACAATCTTTATTCAAATAAAATAGAAAACTTTTAAATAAACAACAAGCAATTAAATCTCAAAATACGGCGGACCTGCAAACATATAGTCGAACAAAGCAAAACCAAAAGTGACGCCATTTCAACCTACCTTACTCTTCGCTTAATCAAAATATAAATTTGCATTTGCAACTAAGAATACCTGCACCGACATAAATAACACACAAACTATAAATTTAACAGAAAGCCAAAATGCAATAAACTTTATCCAAACTAAAATAGAAAACATTTAAATAAGCAACTAGCAATTAAACCTCAATATACTGAAGACCTGCAAACTCATTATTGAACAAAGTGCCAAAAGTTACGCCATTTCAACCTACCCTGCTCTTCGTTTAACCAAAACATAAAATCTGCACTTACAAATAATAATACCCTCACGGACTTAAATAAAACACAAAGCTACAAAAATTAACTCAAAACCAAATGCAATAAGCTTTATTCAAATCAAAAAAAAAAATTTAAATAAAAAAAAAAAAAAAAAAAAAAAAAAAAAAAAAAAAAAAAACAAGCAATTAAACCTCGATATATGACAACATGCTGAGCCCTGTTGAATGACCACTGATGGATGACCCGTGTGGATGACCTTGGTGGATGACCCTGGTGGATGATCCTGATGACAGCTGCAGACACCTGGAAAAGACGAACGCAAAATTATTAATATTTTAAAATATAATATACTTATAAGATATCAAACTAAACATAAAATATTCGCTAATTACTAATTTCTTATCTTACCTAATTACCTCTCATCAATTAATATCAGTTTTTTCTAGTTATATCTTTAATATTAATTCACTTCAGATATCGTACTACTCTGAAGAGCTAAGATACTTACTTGCTTTTCGCAATTAAAATCATAAAACTTGATTACAACTATAAGTAAAACTAAACAATTTTTTCTACATATGTTAAAGTCTAAGCTACGGCTATTAAATATCTGTTTTTTCTAGTTATATCTTTAATATTAATTCACTTCAGATATCGTACTACTCTGAAGAGCTAAGATACTTACTTGCTTTTCGCAATTAAAATCATAAAACTTGATTACAACTATAAGTAAAACTAAACAATTTTTTCTACATATCTTAAAGTCTAGCTACGGCTATTTACTACCTTTACATTAGTAATTATTTTAAACATAAGACACTATTCAGCTCAGAAAATGCAGACTTTGCCCTGATTTTTCACGACAATTCAATTTACTCATTTTGATCAATATTACAAATTCTCAAGCTGTAAATATTTGCTAACAACAAATTTATTATCTTATCTAGTAACCTCTCACTAATTGATATCAGTGTATCTAATTAATATATTAATAATAGTAACTCTTATCATTTATTCTACTCCTATGAAAACGCTAAGATACTCCCTTTGTTTTTTTGCAATTAAATCATAAAACTTGATTGTTCAATTATTGTTAAAACTAAATAATTTTCTACATTACTGAAAGAATAAGCAATGGCCATTTACTACCATATCCCTTAGTTTTATATTAAGCATGTGATACTATGCAACTCAGAAAATGCAAAGACTTTGTCCTGCTTTTTCACGCTAATTCAAATCATTAACTTTGTTCAATATTTGCTAATATAAATCCTGTTACTACCTTTTAAATCCTACATTTACTAAAATATTATTTTCGGCAAATTTCTTCCTTTATACTTAGTTTATAAGCTAGTATGTAAGGTGCTATGTTAAATTTCTAAAAAGAGCCATTGTAAGGCACTGAGAAATAAAGAGTCACCTCGCTTCTATCCCCTCCTCTTATAGCTGCAGAGCAGCTGTTAAGAACGAGAAGATACAAACAAGGTGCAATTGTGTATGGCAATAGACTATACAAAGTTGAAACAGTTTGATTGTCTTCACTTATGAATTTAAACGCCACTCCATACCCCGATATTGGCCACGCAAACAAACAAAACGCCTTCCCGGGCACGCTTAATCTGGAAAAAATAAAATAAAAACACCAGTAATCTGTAAAAGAGCTAAACAAACAAACTACTTACCGACTCCTTAACTTGCACAAACCTGAAATAAATAAAACAAAACAAAATTATATAGCTAAGCAAAATAAAATAATTTAATATGTAAACGAGCTAAATAAACAAACTACTTACCGACTCCTCAATTTGCACTCTCCTGTAATAAATAACGCAAAATTGATATAACTAAACAATATAAACTAATTTAATATAACAGAATAAAAATAGAAAGTAAAATGGCAATAATAATAACGTTAATAATAATTATAAATTCAACAAACTAAATGACTTAAGTAAAACTAATAAACTATGGAATATGGCCAGCAGATACCGAGAATTAAATTATAACAATTAACGTAAACGAAAGCAAATTGTCCGATAATTCTGCCCTTCACGACTGTAAATATAATAAAATCGGAAAAAGGGTGAAAATAAACGATGAATGTCTTAAATATCGATTAAATGTGAAAAGAAAAGCTAAACAATAACAATCATCGCATAAATATATCGACTAATTGGCAGACCTACAAGCATATAAGCGCACAAAGTAAAATCAAAAGTGACGCCAATTCAATCTACTTTTCTCTACGTGCAATCAAATATAAATTCGCTCTTGTTAAAAAAGAATACCTTCACGGACCTAAATAAAACACAAAACTACAAAGTAACTCAAAACCAAAATGCAACTATCTTTATTCAAATAAAATAGAAAACTTTTAAATAAACAACAAGCAATTAAATCTCAAAATACGGCGGACCTGCAAACATATAGTCGAACAAAGCAAAACCAAAAGTGACGCCATTTCAACCTACCTTACTCTTCGCTTAATCAAAATATAAATTTGCATTTGCAACTAAGAATACCTGCACCGACATAAATAACACACAAACTATAAATTTAACAGAAAGCCAAAATGCAATAAACTTTATCCAAACTAAAATAGAAAACATTTAAATAAGCAACTAGCAATTAAACCTCAATATACTGAAGACCTGCAAACTCATTATTGAACAAAGTGAAACCAAAAGTTACGCCATTTCAACCTATCCTGCTCTTCGTATAACCAAAACATAAAATCTCACTTACAAATAATAATACCCTCACGGACTTAAATAAAACACAAAGCTACAAAAATTAACTTAAAACCAAATGCAATAAGCTTTATTCAAATCAAAAAAAAAATTTAAAAAAAAAAAAAAAAAAAAAAAAAAAAAAAAAAAAAAAAAAATAACAAGCAATTAAACCTCGATATATGACAACATGCTGAGCCCTGTTGGATGACCACTGATGGATGACCGTGGATGACCCGTGTGGATGACCTTGGTGGATGACCCTGGTGGATGATCCTGATGACAGCTGCAGACACCTGGAAAAGACGAACGCAAAATTATTAATATTTTAAAATAGAATATACTTATAAGATATCAAACTAAACATAAAATATTCGCTAATTACTAATTTCTTATCTTACCTAATTACCTCTCATCAATTAATATCAGTTTTTTCTAGTTATATCTTTAATATTAATTCACTTCAGATATCGTACTACTCTGAAGAGCTAAGATACTTACTTGCTTTTCGCAATTAAAATCATAAAACTTGATTACAACTATAAGTAAAACTAAACAATTTTTTCTACATATGTTAAAGTCTAAGCTACGGCTATTAAATATCTGTTTTTTCTAGTTATATCTTTAATATTAATTCACTTCAGATATCGTACTACTCTGAAGAGCTAAGATACTTACTTGCTTTTCGCAATTAAAATCATAAAACTTGATTATAACTATAAGTAAAACTAAACAATTTTTTCTACATATCTTAAATTCTAAGCTACGACTATTTGCTACCTTTACATTAGTAATTATATTAAACATAAGACACTATTCAGCTCAGAAAATGCAAAGACTTTGCCCTGATTTTTCACGAAAATTCAATTTACTCATTTTGATCAATATTACAAATTCTTAACCTGTAAATATTTGCTAATAACAAATTTATTATCTTATCTAGTAACCTCTCAGTAATTGATATCAGTGTATCTAATTAATATATTAATAATAGTAACTCTTATCATTTATTCTACTCCTATGAAAACGCTAAGATACTCCCTTTGTTTTTTGCAATTAAATCATAAAACTTGATTGTTCAATTATTTTTTAAACTAAATAATTTTCTATGTTACTGAAAGAATCAACAATGGACATTTACTACCATATCCCTTAGTTTTATATTAAGCATGTGATACCATGCAACTCAGAAAATGCAAAGACTTTGTCCTGCTTTTTCACGCTAATTCAAATCATTAACTTTGTTCAATATTTGCTAATATAAATCCTGTTACTACCTTTTAAATCCTACATTTACTAAAATATTATTTTCGGCAAATTTCTTCCTTTATACTTAGTTTATAAGCTAGTATGTAAGGTGCTATGTTAAATTTCTAAAAAGAGCCATTGTAAGGCACTGAGAAATAAAGAGTCACCTCGCTTCTATCCCCTCCTCTTATAGCTGCAGAGCAGCTGTTAAGAACGAGAAGATACAAACAAGGTGCAATTGTGTATAGCAATAGACTATACAAAGTTGAAACAGTTTGATTGTCTTCACTTATGAATTTAAACGCCACTCCATACCCCGATATTGGCCACGCAAACAAACAAAACGCCTTCCCGGGCACGCTTAATCTGGAAAAATAAAAATAAAAACACCAGTAATCTGTAAAAGAGCTAAACAAACAAACTACTTACCGACTCCTTAACTTGCACAAACCTGAAATAAATAAAACAAAATTATATAGCTAAGCAAAATAAAATAATTTAATATGTAAACGAGCTAAATAAACAAACTACTTACCGACTCCTCAATTTGCACTCTCCTGTAATAAATAACGCAAAATTGATATAACTAAACAATATAAACTAATTTAATATAACAGAATAAAAATAGAAAGTAAAATGGCAATAATAATAACGTTAATAATAATTATAAATTCAACAAACTAAATGACTTAAGTAAAACTAATAAACTATGGAATATGGCCAGCAGATACCGAGAATTAAATTATAACAATTAACGTAAACGAAAGCAAATTGTCCGATAATTCTGCCCTTCACGACTGTAAATATAATAAAATCGAAAAAAGGGTGAAAATAAACGATGAATGTCTTAAATATCGATTAAATGTGAAAAGAAAAGCTAAACAATAACAATCATCGCATAAATATATCGACTAATTGGCAGACCTACAAGCATATAAGCGCACAAAGTAAAATCAAAAGTGACGCCAATTCAATCTACTTTTCTCTACGTGCAATCAAATATAAATTCGCTCTTGTTAAAAAGAATACCTTCACGGACCTAAATAAAACACAAAACTACAAAGTAACTCAAAACCAAAATGCAACTATCTTTATTCAAATAAAATAGAAAACTTTTAAATAAACAACAAGCAATTAAATCTCAAAATACGGCGGACCTGCAAACATATAGTCGAACAAAGCAAAACCAAAAGTGACGCCATTTCAACCTACCTTACTCTTCGCTTAATCAAAATATAAATTTGCATTTGCAACTAAGAATACCTGCACCGACATAAATAACACACAAACTATAAATTTAACAGAAAGCCAAAATGCAATAAACTTTTATCCAAACTAAAATAGAAAACATTTAAATAAGCAACTAGCAATTAAACCTCAATATACTGAAGACCTGCAAACTCATTATTGAACAAAGTGAAACCAAAAGTTACGCCATTTCAACCTATCCTGCTCTTCGTATAACCAAAACATAAAATCTCACTTACAAATAATAATACCCTCACGGACTTAAATAAAACACAAAGCTACAAAAATTAACTTAAAACCAAATGCAATAAGCTTTATTCAAATCAAAAAAAAAATTTAAATAAAAAAAAAAAAAAAAAAAAAAAAAAAAAAAAAAAAAAAAAAAAATAACAAGCAATTAAACCTCGATATATGACAACATGCTGAGCCCTGTTGGATGACCACTGACCTGGATGACCCGTGTGGATGACCTTGGTGGATGACCCTGGTGGATGATCCTGATGACAGCTGCAGACACCTGGAAAAGACGAACGCAAAATTATTAATATTTTAAAATAGAATATACTTATAAGATATCAAACTAAACATAAAATATTCGCTAATTACTAATTTCTTATCTTACCTAATTACCTCTCATCAATTAATATCAGTTTTTTCTAGTTATATCTTTAATATTAATTCACTTCAGATATCGTACTACTCTGAAGAGCTAAGATACTTACTTGCTTTTCGCAATTAAAATCATAAAACTTGATTACAACTATAAGTAAAACTAAACAATTTTTTCTACATATGTTAAAGTCTAAGCTACGGCTATTAAATATCAGTTTTTTTCTAGTTATATCTTTAATATTAATTCACTTCAGATATCGTACTACTCTGAAGAGCTAAGATACTTACTTGCTTTTCGCAATTAAAATCATAAAACTTGATTATAACTATAAGTAAAACTAAACAATTTTTTCTACATATCTTAAATTCTAAGCTACGACTATTTGCTACCTTTACACTAGTAATTACATTAAACATAAGACACTATTCAGCTCAGAAAATGCAAAGACTTTGCCCTGATTCTTCACGAAAATTCAATTTACTCATTTTGATCAATATTACAAATTCTTAACCTGTAAATATTTGCTAATAACAAATTTATTATCTTATCTAGTAACCTCTCAGTAATTGATATCAGTGTATCTAATTAATATATTAATAATAGTAACTCTTATCATTTATTCTACTCCTATGAAAACGCTAAGATACTCCCTTGTTTTTTGCAATTAAATCATAAAACTTGATTGTTCAATTATTTTTTAAACTAAATAATTTTCTATGTTACTGAAAGAATCAACAATGGACATTTACTACCATATCCCTTAGTTTTATATTAAGCATGTGATACCATGCAACTCAGAAAATGCAAAGACTTTGTCCTGCTTTTTCACGCTAATTCAAATCATTAACTTTGTTCAATATTTGCTAATATAAATCCTGTTACTACCTTTTAAATCCTACATTTACTAAAATATTATTTTCGGCAAATTTCTTCCTTTATACTTAGTTTATAAGCTAGTATGTAAGGTGCTATGTTAAATTTCTAAAAAGAGCCATTGTAAGGCACTGAGAAATAAAGAGACACCTCGCTTCTATCCCCTCCTCTTATAGCTGCAGAGCAGCTGTTAAGAACGAGAAGATACAAACAAGGTGCAATTGTGTATGGCAATAGACTATACAAAGTTGAAAACAGTTTGATTGCCATCATTTCTTAATTTAAACGCCATTCCATACCCTCATATTGGACACGAAAATAAACAAAACGCCCTCCCTGGCACGCTTAATCTGTAAATAAAAACACACCAGTAATCTATAAACGAGCAAAACAAACAAACTACTTACCGACTCCTCTACTTGCACAATCCTGAAATAAATAAAACATAATTTATATAACTAAGCAAAATAAACTAACTTAATATGACTGAATAAAACAGAAAGTAAAATAACAATAATAATAACATTAATAATTATAAATTCAATAAACTAAATGACCTAAGTAAAACTAATAAACAACGGATTTTGTTCAGCAGACACCGAGAAGTCAATTGTAACAATTAACGTACAACACATCAGTAATCTGTAAACCAGCTATATAAACAAACTACTTACCGACTCCTCAATTTGCACTCTCCTGAAATAAATAACACAAAATTGACATAATCAAGCAAAATAAACTAATTTAATTTAACTGAATGAAAATTAGAAAGTAAAATAACATTAATAATAACAATAATAATAATTATAAGTAACTAAAATATATATTAATAACTAAATAACACACAATCGACGCTTTGTAATTAATTAAATATAACCGAATGAATGAACGAAATTTAAAACAACTGAATGAAAATTATTTTATAACAATAATAATATTAATAATAATTATAAATAACTAATATATATATAAATAATTAAATAACACAAAATTGACATAATCAAACAAAATAAACTAATTTAATATAACTAAACGAGAATTAGAAAGTAAAATAACAATAATAATAATTATAAATAACTAAAACGCTTTCCTGCATTAAAGCTGTGTTAGCAGTTTGATTGTCATCATTTCTGTATTTAAACGGCATTCCATACCCTCATATTGGACACGCAAATAAACAAAACGCCTTCCCTGGCACGCTTAATCTGTAAATAAAAACACACCAGTAATCTGTAAACGAGCAAAACAAACAAACTACTTACCGACTCCTCTACTTGCACAATCCTGAAATAAATAAAACATTAATCATATAGCTAACAAAATAAATAAAATAATCAAGCAAAATAAACTAATTTAATATAACTGAATAAAAACAGAAAGTAAAATAACAATAATAATAATGTTAATAATAATTATAAATTCAACAAAGTAAATAACCTTAGTAAAACTTATAAACAATGGAATATGGCCAGCAGACACCGAGAATTAAATTATAACAATTAACGTAAACGAAAGCAAATTGTTCGATTATTCTGCCCTACACGACTATAAATATAATAAAATCGGAAAAAGGGTGAAAATAAACGATGAATGTCTCAAATATCGATTAAATGTGAAAAGAAAAAGTTAAACAATAACAATCATCGCATAAATATATCGACTAATTGGCAGACCTACAAGCATATAAGCGCACAAAGTAAAATCAAAAGTGACGCCAATTCAACCTACATTTCTCTACGTGCAATCAAATATAAATTCGCACTTGATAAAAAGAATACCTTCACGGACCTAAATAAAACACAAACTACAAAGTAACTCAAAACCAAAATGCAACAATCTTTATTCAAATAAAATAGAAAACTTTTAAATAAACAACAAGCAATTAAATCTCAAAATACGGCAGACCTGCAAACATATAATTGAACAAAGCAAAACCAAAAGTGACGCCATTTCAACCTACCTTACTCTTGCTTAATCAAAATATAAATTCGCATTTGCAATTAAGAATACCTGCACGGACTTGAATAACACACAAAACTTTAAATTTAAAAAGTTACGCCATTTCAACCTACCTTGCTCTTCGTTTAACCAAAACATAAAATTGCACTTACAAATAATAATACCCTCACGGACTTAAATAAAACACAAAGCTACAAAAATTAACTCAAAACCAAATGCAATAAGCTTTATTCAAATCAAAACAAAAATTTAAATGAAAAAAAAAAAAAAAAAAAAAAAAAAAAAAAAAAAAAAACAAGCAATTAAACCTCGATATATGACAACATGCTGAGCCCTGTTGGATGACCACTGATGGATGACCCTGGTGGATGACCCTGGTGGATAATCCTGATGACAGTTGCAGGCACCTGGAAAAGACGAACGCAAAATTATTAATATTTTAAAATATAATATACTTATAAGATATCGAACTAAACATAAAATATTCGCTAATTACTAATTTCTTATCTTACCTAATTACCTCTCATCAATTAATATCAGTTTTTTCTAGTTATATCTTTAATATTAATTCACTTCAGATATCGTACTACTCTGAAGAGCTAAGATACTTACTTGCTTTTCGCAATTAAAATCATAAAACTTGATTACAACTATAAGTAAAACTAAACAATTTTTTCTACATATGTTAAAGTCTAAGCTACGGCTATTAAATATCAGTTTTTTTTCTAGTTATATCTTTAATATTAATTCACTTCAGATATCGTACTACTCTGAAGAGCTAAGATACTTACTTGCTTTTCGCAATTAAAATCATAAAACTTGATTACAACTATAAGTAAAACTAAATAATTTTTTCTACATATCTTAAAGTCTAGCTACGGCTATTTACTACCTTTACATTAGTAATTATTTTAAACATAAGGCACTATTCAGCTCAGAAAACGCAGACTTTTCCCGGATTTTTCACGAAAATTCAATTTACTCATTTTGATCAATATTACAAATTCTCAAGCTGTAAATATTTGCTAACAACAAATTTATTATCTTATCTAGTAACCTCTCACTAATTGATATCAGTGTATCTAATTAATATATTAATAATAGTAACTCTTATCATTTATTCTACTCCTATGAAAACGCTAAGATACTCCCTTTGTTTTTTGCAATTAAATCATAAAACTTGATTGTTCAATTATTGTTAAAACTAAATAATTTTCTACATTACTGAAAGAATAAGCAATTGCCATTTACTACCATATCCCTTAGTTCTATATTAAGCATAGGATACTATGCAACTCAGAAAATGCAAAGACTTTGTCCTGCTTTTTCACGTTAATTCAAATCACTCACTTTGTTCAATATTTGCTAATATAAATCCTGTTATTACCTTTTAATCCTACATTTACTAAAATATTATTTTCGGCAAATTTCTTCCTTTATACTTGGTTTATAAGCTAGTATGTAAGGTGCTATGTTAAATTTCTAAAAAGAGCCATTGTAAGGCACTGAGAAATAAAGAGTCACCTCGCTTCTATCCCCTCCTCTTATAGCTGCAGAGCAGCTGTTAAGAACGAGAAGATACAAACAAGGTGCAATTGTGTATAGCAATAGACTATACAAAGTTGAAACAGTTTGATTGTCATCATTTCTGTATTTAAACGGCATTCCATACCCTCATATTGGACACGCAAATAAACAAAACGCCTTCCCTGGCACGCTTAATCTGTAAATAAAAACACACCAGTAATCTGTAAACGAGCAAAACAAACAAACTACTTACCGACTCCTCTACTTGCACAATCCTGAAATAAATAAAACATTAATCATATAGCTAACAAAATAAATAAAATAATCAAGCAAAATAAACTAATTTAATATAACTGAATAAAAACAGAAAGTAAAATAACAATAATAATAACGTTAATAATAATTATAAATTCAACAAACTAAATGACCTAAGTAAAACTTATAAATAATGGAATATGGCCAGCAGACACCGAGAATTAAATTATAACAATTAACGTAAACGAAAGCAAATTGTTCGATTATTCTGCCCTACACGACTACAAATATAATAAAATCGGAAAAAGGGTGAAAATAAACGATGAATGTCTCAAATATCGATTAAATGTGAAAAGAAAAAGTTAAACAATAACAATCATCGCATAAATATATCGACTAATTGGCAGACCTACAAGCATATAAGCGCACAAAGTAAAATCAAAAGTGACGCCAATTCAACCTACATTTCTCTACGTGCAATCAAATATAAATTCGCACTTGTTAAAAAGAATACCTTCACGGACCTAAATAAAACACAAACTACAAAGAAACTCAAAGCCAAAATGCAACAATCTTTATTCAAATAAAATACAAAACTTTTAAATAAACAACAAGCAATTAAATCTCAAAATACGGCAGACCTGCAAACATATAATTGAACAAAGCAAAACCAAAAGTGACGCCATTTCAACCTACCTTACTCTTCGCTTAATCAAAATATAAATTCGCATTTGCAATTAAGAATACCTGCACGGACTTAAATAACACACAAAACTTTAAATTTAAAAAGTTACGCCATTTCAACCTACCTTGCTCTTCGTTTAACCAAAACATAAAATTGCACTTACAAATAATAATACCCTCACGGACTTAAATAAAACACAAAGCTACAAAAATTAACCCAAAACCAAATGCAATAAGCTTTATTCAAATCAAAACAAAAAAAATTTAAATAAAAAAAAAAAAAAAAAAAAAAAAAAAAAAAAAAAAAAAAACAAGCAATTAAACCTCGATATATGACAACATGCTGAGCCCTGTTGGATGACCACTGATGGATGACCCTGGTGGATGACCCTGGTGGATAATCCTGATGACAGTTGCAGGCACCTGGAAAAGACGAACGCAAAATTATTAATATTTTAAAATATAATATACTTATAAGATATCGAACTAAACATAAAATATTCGCTAATTACTAATTTCTTATCTTACCTAATTACCTCTCATCAATTAATATCAGTTTTTTCTAGTTATATCTTTAATATTAATTCACTTCAGATATCGTACTACTCTGAAGAGCTAAGATACTTACTTGCTTTTCGCAATTAAAATCATAAAACTTGATTACAACTATAAGTAAAACTAAACAATTTTTTCTACATATGTTAAAGTCTAAGCTACGGCTATTAAATATCAGTTTTTTTTCTAGTTATATCTTTAATATTAATTCACTTCAGATATCGTACTACTCTGAAGAGCTAAGATACTTACTTGCTTTTCGCAATTAAAATCATAAAACTTGATTACAACTATAAGTAAAACTAAATAATTTTTTCTACATATCTTAAAGTCTAGCTACGGCTATTTACTACCTTTACATTAGTAATTATTTTAAACATAAGGCACTATTCAGCTCAGAAAACGCAGACTTTTCCCGGATTTTTCACGAAAATTCAATTTACTCATTTTGATCAATATTACAAATTCTCAAGCTGTAAATATTTGCTAACAACAAATTTATTATCTTATCTAGTAACCTCTCACTAATTGATATCAGTGTATCTAATTAATATATTAATAATAGTAACTCTTATCATTTATTCTACTCCTATGAAAACGCTAAGATACTCCCTTTGTTTTTTGCAATTAAATCATAAAACTTGATTGTTCAATTATTGTTAAAACTAAATAATTTTCTACATTACTGAAAGAATAAGCAATTGCCATTTACTACCATATCCCTTAGTTCTATATTAAGCATAGGATACTATGCAACTCAGAAAATGCAAAGACTTTGTCCTGCTTTTTCACGTTAATTCAAATCACTCACTTTGTTCAATATTTGCTAATATAAATCCTGTTATTACCTTTTAATCCTACATTTACTAAAATATTATTTTCGGCAAATTTCTTCCTTTATACTTGGTTTATAAGCTAGTATGTAAGGTGCTATGTTAAATTTCTAAAAAGAGCCATTGTAAGGCACTGAGAAATAAAGAGTCACCTCGCTTCTATCCCCTCCTCTTATAGCTGCAGAGCAGCTGTTAAGAACGAGAAGATACAAACAAGGTGCAATTGTGTATAGCAATAGACTATACAAAGTTGAAAACAGTTTGATTGTCTTCACTTATGAATTTAAACGCCACTCCATACCCCGATATTGGCCACGCAAACAAACAAAACGCCTTCCCGGGCACGCTTAATCTGGAAAAAATAAAATAAATTAAAAAACACCAGTAATCTGTAAAAGAGCTAAACAAACAAACTACTTACCGACTCCTTAACTTGCACAAACCTGAAATAAATAAAACAAAATTATATAGCTAAGCAAAATAAAATAATTTAATATGTAAACGAGCTAAATAAACAAACTACTTACCGACTCCTCAATTTGCACTCTCCTGTAATAAATAACGCAAAATTGATATAACTAAACAATATAAACTAATTTAATATAACAGAATAAAAATAGAAAGTAAAATGGCAATAATAATAACGTTAATAATAATTATAAATTCAACAAACTAAATGACTTAAGTAAAACTAATAAACTATGGAATATGGCCAGCAGATACCGAGAATTAAATTATAACAATTAACGTAAACGAAAGCAAATTGTCCGATAATTCTGCCCTTCACGACTGTAAATATAATAAAATCGAAAAAAGGGTGAAAATAAACGATGAATGTCTTAAATATCGATTAAATGTGAAAAGAAAAGCTAAACAATAACAATCATCGCATAAATATATCGACTAATTGGCAGACCTACAAGCATATAAGCGCACAAAGTAAAATCAAAAGTGACGCCAATTCAATCTACTTTTCTCTACGTGCAATCAAATATAAATTCGCTCTTGTTAAAAAGAATACCTTCACGGACCTAAATAAAACACAAAACTACAAAGTAACTCAAAACCAAAATGCAACTATCTTTATTCAAATAAAATAGAAAACTTTTAAATAAACAACAAGCAATTAAATCTCAAAATACGGTGGACCTGCAAACATATAGTCGAACAAAGCAAAACCAAAAGTGACGCCATTTCAACCTACCTTACTCTTCGCTTAATCAAAATATAAATTTGCATTTGCAACTAAGAATACCTGCACCGACATAAATAACACACAAACTATAAATTTAACAGAAAGCCAAAATGCAATAAACTTTATCCAAACTAAAATAGAAAACATTTAAATAAGCAACTAGCAATTAAACCTCAATATACTGAAGACCTGCAAACTCATTATTGAACAAAGTGAAACCAAAAGTTACGCCATTTCAACCTATCCTGCTCTTCGTATAACCAAAACATAAAATCTCACTTACAAATAATAATACCCTCACGGACTTAAATAAAACACAAAGCTACAAAAATTAACTTAAAACCAAATGCAATAAGCTTTATTCAAATCAAAAAAAAAAATTTAAATAAAAAAAAAAAAAAAAAAAAAAAAAAAAAAAAAAAAAAAAATAACAAGCAATTAAACCTCGATATATGACAACATGCTGAGCCCTGTTGGATGACCACTGATGGATGACCCGTGTGGATGACCCGTGTGGATGACCTTGGTGGATGACCCTGGTGGATGATCCTGATGACAGCTGCAGACACCTGGAAAAGACGAACGCAAAATTATTAATATTTTAAAAATAGAATATACTTATAAGATATCAAACTAAACATAAAATATTCGCTAATTACTAATTTCTTATCTTACCTAATTACCTCTCATCAATTAATATCAGTTTTTTCTAGTTATATCTTTAATATTAATTCACTTCAGATATCGTACTACTCTGAAGAGCTAAGATACTTACTTGCTTTTCGCAATTAAAATCATAAAACTTGATTACAACTATAAGTAAAACTAAACAATTTTTTCTACATATGTTAAAGTCTAAGCTACGGCTATTAAATATCTGTTTTTTCTAGTTATATCTTTAATATTAATTCACTTCAGATATCGTACTACTCTGAAGAGCTAAGATACTTACTTGCTTCTCGCAATTAAAATCATAAAACTTGATTATAACTATAAGTAAAACTAAACAATTTTTTCTACATATCTTAAATTCTAAGCTACGACTATTTGCTACCTTTACTCTAGTAATTACATTAAACATAAGACACTATTCAGCTCAGAAAATGCAAAGACTTTGCCCTGATTCTTCACGAAAATTCAATTTACTCATTTTGATCAATATTACAAATTCTTAACCTGTAAATATTTGCTAATAACAAATTTATTATCTTATCTAGTAACCTCTCAGTAATTGATATCAGTGTATCTAATTAATATATTAATAATAGTAACTCTTATCATTTATTCTACTCCTATGAAAACGCTAAGATACTCCCTTGTTTTTTGCAATTAAATCATAAAACTTGATTGTTCAATTATTTTTTAAACTAAATAATTTTCTATGTTACTGAAAGAATCAACAATGGACATTTACTACCATATCCCTTAGTTTTATATTAAGCATGTGATACCATGCAACTCAGAAAATGCAAAGACTTTGTCCTGCTTTTTCACGCTAATTCAAATCATTAACTTTGTTCAATATTTGCTAATATAAATCCTGTTACTACCTTTTAAATCCTACATTTACTAAAATATTATTTTCGGCAAATTTCTTCCTTTATACTTAGTTTATAAGCTAGTATGTAAGGTGCTATGTTAAATTTCTAAAAAGAGCCATTGTAAGGCACTGAGAAATAAAGAGACACCTCGCTTCTATCCCCTCCTCTTATAGCTGCAGAGCAGCTGTTAAGAACGAGAAGATACAAACAAGGTGCAATTGTGTATGGCAATAGACTATACAAAGTTGAAAACAGTTTGATTGCAATCACTCCTAATTTAAACGCCATTTCATGCCCTCATATTGGCCACCCAAACAAACAAAACGCCTTCACTGGCACGCTAAATCTGTAAATAAAAACACACCAGTAATCTGTTAACGAGCAAAACAAACAAACTACTTACCGACTCCTCTACTTGCACAATCCTGAAATAAATAAAACATAATTTATATAGCTAAGCAAAATAAGCTAACTTAATATTACTGAATAAAACAGAAAGCAAAATAAGAATAATAATAACATTAATAATAATTATAAATTCAATAATCTAAATGACCTAAGTAAAACTAATAAACGGATTTTGTTCAGCAGACACCGAGAATTCAATTGTAACAATTAACGTACAACACATCAGTAATCTGTAAACCAGCTATATAAACAAACTACTTACCGACTCCTCAATTTGCACTCTCCTGAAATAAATAACACAAAATTGACATAATCAAGCAAAATAAACTAATTTAATTTAACTGAATGAAAATTAGAAAGTAAAATAACAATAATAATAACATTAATAATAATTATAAATAACTAAAATATATATTAATAACTAAATAACACAAAATTGTCATTCTGTATTTAATTAAATATAACTGAATGAATGAATGAAATTTAAAACAACTGAATGAAAATTAGAAAGTAATATAACAATAATAATAATATCAATAATAATTATAAATAACTAATATATATATATAAATAACTAAATAACACAAAATTGAAATAATCAAGCAAAATAAACTACTTTAATATAACTAAATGAAAATTAGAAAGTAATATAACAATAATAATTTTTATAAATAACTAAAACGCTTTCCTGCTGTAAAGCTGTGTTAGCAGTTTGATTGTCTTCACTTATGAATTTAAACGCCACTCCATACCCCGATATTGGCCACGCAAACAAACAAAACGCCTTCCCGGGCACGCTTAATCTGGAAAAAATAAAATAAAAACACCAGTAATCTGTAAAAGAGCTAAACAAACAAACTACTTACCGACTCCTTAACTTGCACAAACCTGAAATAAATAAAACAAAATTATATAGCTAAGCAAAATAAAATAATTTAATATGTAAACGAGCTAAATAAACAAACTACTTACCGACTCCTCAATTTGCACTCTCCTGTAATAAATAACGCAAAATTGATATAACTAAACAATATAAACTAATTTAATATAACAGAATAAAAATAGAAAGTAAAATGGCAATAATAATAACGTTAATAATAATTATAAATTCAACAAACTAAATGACCTTAAGTAAAACTAATAAACTATGGAATATGGCCAGCAGATACCGAGAATTAAATTATAACAATTAACGTAAACGAAAGCAAATTGTCCGATAATTCTGCCCTTCACGACTGTAAATATAATAAAATCGAAAAAAGGGTGAAAATAAACGATGAATGTCTTAAATATCGATTAAATGTGAAAAGAAAAGCTAAACAATAACAATCATCGCATAAATATATCGACTAATAGGCAGACCTACAAGCATATAAGCGCACAAAGTAAAATCAAAAGTGACGCCAATTCAATCTACTTTTCTCTACGTGCAATCAAATATAAATTCGCTCTTGTTAAAAAGAATACCTTCACGGACCTAAATAAAACACAAAACTACAAAGTAACTCAAAACCAAAATGCAACTATCTTTATTCAAATAAAATAGAAAACTTTTAAATAAACAACAAGCAATTAAATCTCAAAATACGGTGGACCTGCAAACATATAGTCGAACAAAGCAAAACCAAAAGTGACGCCATTTCAACCTACCTTACTCTTCGCTTAATCAAAATATAAATTTGCATTTGCAACTAAGAATACCTGCACCGACATAAATAACACACAAACTATAAATTTAACAGAAAGCCAAAATGCAATAAACTTTATCCAAACTAAAATAGAAAACATTTAAATAAGCAACTAGCAATTAAACCTCAATATACTGAAGACCTGCAAACTCATTATTGAACAAAGTGAAACCAAAAGTTACGCCATTTCAACCTATCCTGCTCTTCGTATAACCAAAACATAAAATCTCACTTACAAATAATAATACCCTCACGGACTTAAATAAAACACAAAGCTACAAAAATTAACTTAAAACCAAATGCAATAAGCTTTATTCAAATCAAAAAAAAAAAAAAAAAAAAAAAAAAAAAAAAAAAAAAAAAAAAAAAAAAAAAAATAACAAGCAATTAAACCTCGATATATGACAACATGCTGAGCCCTGTTGGATGACCACTGATGGATGACCCGTTGGATGACCCGTGTGGATGACCTTGGTGGATGACCCTGGTGGATGATCCTGATGACAGCTGCAGACACCTGGAAAAGACGAACGCAAAATTATTAATATTTTAAAATAGAATATACTTATAAGATATCAAACTAAACATAAAATATTCGCTAATTACTAATTTCTTATCTTACCTAATTACCTCTCATCAATTAATATCAGTTTTTTCTAGTTATATCTTTAATATTAATTCACTTCAGATATCGTACTACTCTGAAGAGCTAAGATACTTACTTGCTTTTCGCAATTAAAATCATAAAACTTGATTACAACTATAAGTAAAACTAAACAATTTTTTCTACATATGTTAAAGTCTAAGCTACGGCTATTAAATATCTGTTTTTTCTAGTTATATCTTTAATATTAATTCACTTCAGATATCGTACTACTCTGAAGAGCTAAGATACTTACTTGCTTTTCGCAATTAAAATCATAAAACTTGATTATAACTATAAGTAAAACTAAACAATTTTTTCTACATATCTTAAATTCTAAGCTACGACTATTTGCTACCTTTACTCTAGTAATTACATTAAACATAAGACACTATTCAGCTCAGAAAATGCAAAGACTTTGCCCTGATTCTTCACGAAAATTCAATTTACTCATTTTGATCAATATTACAAATTCTTAACCTGTAAATATTTGCTAATAACAAATTTATTATCTTATCTAGTAACCTCTCAGTAATTGATATCAGTGTATCTAATTAATATATTAATAATAGTAACTCTTATCATTTATTCTACTCCTATGAAAACGCTAAGATACTCCCTTGTTTTTTGCAATTAAATCATAAAACTTGATTGTTCAATTATTTTTTAAACTAAATAATTTTCTATGTTACTGAAAGAATCAACAATGGACATTTACTACCATATCCCTTAGTTTTATATTAAGCATGTGATACCATGCAACTCAGAAAATGCAAAGACTTTGTCCTGCTTTTTCACGCTAATTCAAATCATTAACTTTGTTCAATATTTGCTAATATAAATCCTGTTACTACCTTTTAAATCCTACATTTACTAAAATATTATTTTCGGCAAATTTCTTCCTTTATACTTAGTTTATAAGCTAGTATGTAAGGTGCTATGTTAAATTTCTAAAAAGAGCCATTGTAAGGCACTGAGAAATAAAGAGACACCTCGCTTCTATCCCCTCCTCTTATAGCTGCAGAGCAGCTGTTAAGAACGAGAAGATACAAACAAGGTGCAATTGTGTATGGCAATAGACTATACAAAGTTGAAAACAGTTTGATTGTCTTCACTTATGAATTTAAACGCCACTCCATACCCCGATATTGGCCACGCAAACAAACAAAACGCCTTCCCGGGCACGCTTAATCTGGAAAAAATAAAATAAAAACACCAGTAATCTGTAAAAGAGCTAAACAAACAAACTACTTACCGACTCCTTAACTTGCACAAACCTGAAATAAATAAAACAAAATTATATAGCTAAGCAAAATAAAATAATTTAATATGTAAACGAGCTAAATAAACAAACTACTTACCGACTCCTCAATTTGCACTCTCCTGTAATAAATAACGCAAAATTGATATAACTAAACAATATAAACTAATTTAATATAACAGAATAAAAATAGAAAGTAAAATGGCAATAATAATAACGTTAATAATAATTATAAATTCAACAAACTAAATGACTTAAGTAAAACTAATAAACTATGGAATATGGCCAGCAGATACCGAGAATTAAATTATAACAATTAACGTAAACGAAAGCAAATTGTCCGATAATTCTGCCCTTCACGACTGTAAATATAATAAAATCGAAAAAAGGGTGAAAATAAACGATGAATGTCTTAAATATCGATTAAATGTGAAAAGAAAAGCTAAACAATAACAATCATCGCATAAATATATCGACTAATAGGCAGACCTACAAGCATATAAGCGCACAAAGTAAAATCAAAAGTGACGCCAATTCAATCTACTTTTCTCTACGTGCAATCAAATATAAATTCGCTCTTGTTAAAAAGAATACCTTCACGGACCTAAATAAAACACAAAACTACAAAGTAACTCAAAACCAAAATGCAACTATCTTTATTCAAATAAAATAGAAAACTTTTAAATAAACAACAAGCAATTAAATCTCAAAATACGGTGGACCTGCAAACATATAGTCGAACAAAGCAAAACCAAAAGTGACGCCATTTCAACCTACCTTACTCTTCGCTTAATCAAAATATAAATTTGCATTTGCAACTAAGAATACCTGCACCGACATAAATAACACACAAACTATAAATTTAACAGAAAGCCAAAATGCAATAAACTTTATCCAAACTAAAATAGAAAACATTTAAATAAGCAACTAGCAATTAAACCTCAATATACTGAAGACCTGCAAACTCATTATTGAACAAAGTGAAACCAAAAGTTACGCCATTTCAACCTATCCTGCTCTTCGTATAACCAAAACATAAAATCTCACTTACAAATAATAATACCCTCACGGACTTAAATAAAACACAAAGCTACAAAAATTAACTTAAAACCAAATGCAATAAGCTTTATTCAAATCAAAAAAAAATTTAAATAAAAAAAAAAAAAAAAAAAAAAAAAAAAAAAAAAAAAAAAATAACAAGCAATTAAACCTCGATATATGACAACATGCTGAGCCCTGTTGGATGACCACTGATGGATGACCCGTGTGGATGACCCGTGTGGATGACCTTGGTGGATGACCCTGGTGGATGATCCTGATGACAGCTGCAGACACCTGGAAAAGACGAACGCAAAATTATTAATATTTTAAAATAGAATATACTTATAAGATATCAAACTAAACATAAAATATTCGCTAATTACTAATTTCTTATCTTACCTAATTACCTCTCATCAATTAATATCAGTTTTTTCTAGTTATATCTTTAATATTAATTCACTTCAGATATCGTACTACTCTGAAGAGCTAAGATACTTACTTGCTTTTCGCAATTAAAATCATAAAACTTGATTACAACTATAAGTAAAACTAAACAATTTTTTCTACATATGTTAAAGTCTAAGCTACGGCTATTAAATATCTGTTTTTTCTAGTTATATCTTTAATATTAATTCACTTCAGATATCGTACTACTCTGAAGAGCTAAGATACTTACTTGCTTCTCGCAATTAAAATCATAAAACTTGATTATAACTATAAGTAAAACTAAACAATTTTTTCTACATATCTTAAATTCTAAGCTACGACTATTTGCTACCTTTACTCTAGTAATTACATTAAACATAAGACACTATTCAGCTCAGAAAATGCAAAGACTTTGCCCTGATTCTTCACGAAAATTCAATTTACTCATTTTGATCAATATTACAAATTCTTAACCTGTAAATATTTGCTAATAACAAATTTATTATCTTATCTAGTAACCTCTCAGTAATTGATATCAGTGTATCTAATTAATATATTAATAATAGTAACTCTTATCATTTATTCTACTCCTATGAAAACGCTAAGATACTCCCTTGTTTTTTGCAATTAAATCATAAAACTTGATTGTTCAATTATTTTTTAAACTAAATAATTTTCTATGTTACTGAAAGAATCAACAATGGACATTTACTACCATATCCCTTAGTTTTATATTAAGCATGTGATACCATGCAACTCAGAAAATGCAAAGACTTTGTCCTGCTTTTTCACGCTAATTCAAATCATTAACTTTGTTCAATATTTGCTAATATAAATCCTGTTACTACCTTTTAAATCCTACATTTACTAAAATATTATTTTCGGCAAATTTCTTCCTTTATACTTAGTTTATAAGCTAGTATGTAAGGTGCTATGTTAAATTTCTAAAAAGAGCCATTGTAAGGCACTGAGAAATAAAGAGACACCTCGCTTCTATCCCCTCCTCTTATAGCTGCAGAGCAGCTGTTAAGAACGAGAAGATACAAACAAGGTGCAATTGTGTATGGCAATAGACTATACAAAGTTGAAATAAAACTAAACAATTTTTTCTACATATCTTAAATTCTAAGCTACGACTATTTGCTACCTTTACTCTAGTAATTACATTAAACATAAGACACTATTCAGCTCAGAAAATGCAAAGACTTTTGCCCTGATTCTTCACGAAAATTCAATTTACTCATTTTGATCAATATTACAAATTCTTAACCTGTAAATATTTGCTAATAACAAATTTATTATCTTATCTAGTAACCTCTCAGTAATTGATATCAGTGTATCTAATTAATATATTAATAATAGTAACTCTTATCATTTATTCTACTCCTATGAAAACGCTAAGATACTCCCTTGTTTTTTGCAATTAAATCATAAAACTTGATTGTTCAATTATTTTTTAAACTAAATAATTTTCTATGTTACTGAAAGAATCAACAATGGACATTTACTACCATATCCCTTAGTTTTATATTAAGCATGTGATACCATGCAACTCAGAAAATGCAAAGACTTTGTCCTGCTTTTTCACGCTAATTCAAATCATTAACTTTGTTCAATATTTGCTAATATAAATCCTGTTACTACCTTTTAAATCCTACATTTACTAAAATATTATTTTCGGCAAATTTCTTCCTTTATACTTAGTTTATAAGCTAGTATGTAAGGTGCTATGTTAAATTTCTAAAAAGAGCCATTGTAAGGCACTGAGAAATAAAGAGACACCTCGCTTCTATCCCCTCCTCTTATAGCTGCAGAGCAGCTGTTAAGAACGAGAAGATACAAACAAGGTGCAATTGTGTATGGCAATAGACTATACAAAGTTGAAAAAACAGTTTGATTGTCTTCACTTATGAATTTAAACGCCACTCCATACCCCGATATTGGCCACGCAAACAAACAAAACGCCTTCCCGGGCACGCTTAATCTGGAAAAATAAAATAAAAACACCAGTAATCTGTAAAAGAGCTAAACAAACAAACTACTTACCGACTCCTTAACTTGCACAAACCTGAAATAAATAAAACAAAATTATATAGCTAAGCAAAATAAAATAATTTAATATGTAAACGAGCTAAATAAACAAACTACTTACCGACTCCTCAATTTGCACTCTCCTGTAATAAATAACGCAAAATTGATATAACTAAACAATATAAACTAATTTAATATAACAGAATAAAAATAGAAAGTAAAATGGCAATAATAATAACGTTAATAATAATTATAAATTCAACAAACTAAATGACTTAAGTAAAACTAATAAACTATGGAATATGGCCAGCAGATACCGAGAATTAAATCATAACAATTAACGTAAACGAAAGCAAATTGTCCGATAATTCTGCCCTTCACGACTGTAAATATAATAAAATCGAAAAAAAGGGTGAAAATAAACGATGAATGTCTTAAATATCGATTAAATGTGAAAAGAAAAGCTAAACAATAACAATCATCGCATAAATATATCGACTAATAGGCAGACCTACAAGCATATAAGCGCACAAAGTAAAATCAAAAGTGACGCCAATTCAATCTACTTTTCTCTACGTGCAATCAAATATAAATTCGCTCTTGTTAAAAAGAATACCTTCACGGACCTAAATAAAACACAAAACTACAAAGTAACTCAAAACCAAAATGCAACTATCTTTATTCAAATAAAATAGAAAACTTTTAAATAAACAACAAGCAATTAAATCTCAAAATACGGTGGACCTGCAAACATATAGTCGAACAAAGCAAAACCAAAAGTGACGCCATTTCAACCTACCTTACTCTTCGCTTAATCAAAATATAAATTTGCATTTGCAACTAAGAATACCTGCACCGACATAAATAACACACAAACTATAAATTTAACAGAAAGCCAAAATGCAATAAACTTTATCCAAACTAAAATAGAAAACATTTAAATAAGCAACTAGCAATTAAACCTCAATATACTGAAGACCTGCAAACTCATTATTGAACAAAGTGAAACCAAAAGTTACGCCATTTCAACCTATCCTGCTCTTCGTATAACCAAAACATAAAATCTCACTTACAAATAATAATACCCTCACGGACTTAAATAAAACACAAAGCTACAAAAATTAACTTAAAACCAAATGCAATAAGCTTTATTCAAATCAAAAAAAAAATTTAAATAAAAAAAAAAAAAAAAAAAAAAAAAAAAAAAAAAAAAAAAATAACAAGCAATTAAACCTCGATATATGACAACATGCTGAGCCCTGTTGGATGACCACTGATGGATGACCCGTGTGGATGACCCGTGTGGATGACCTTGGTGGATGACCCTGGTGGATGATCCTGATGACAGCTGCAGACACCTGGAAAAGACGAACGCAAAATTATTAATATTTTAAAATAGAATATACTTATAAGATATCAAACTAAACATAAAATATTCGCTAATTACTAATTTCTTATCTTACCTAATTACCTCTCATCAATTAATATCAGTTTTTTCTAGTTATATCTTTAATATTAATTCACTTCAGATATCGTACTACTCTGAAGAGCTAAGATACTTACTTGCTTTTCGCAATTAAAATCATAAAACTTGATTACAACTATAAGTAAAACTAAACAATTTTTTCTACATATGTTAAAGTCTAAGCTACGGCTATTAAATATCTGTTTTTTCTAGTTATATCTTTAATATTAATTCACTTCAGATATCGTACTACTCTGAAGAGCTAAGATACTTACTTGCTTCTCGCAATTAAAATCATAAAACTTGATTATAACTATAAGTAAAACTAAACAATTTTTTCTACATATCTTAAATTCTAAGCTACGACTATTTGCTACCTTTTACTCTAGTAATTACATTAAACATAAGACACTATTCAGCTCAGAAAATGCAAAGACTTTGCCCTGATTCTTCACGAAAATTCAATTTACTCATTTTGATCAATATTACAAATTCTTAACCTGTAAATATTTGCTAATAACAAATTTATTATCTTATCTAGTAACCTCTCAGTAATTGATATCAGTGTATCTAATTAATATATTAATAATAGTAACTCTTATCATTTATTCTACTCCTATGAAAACGCTAAGATACTCCCTTGTTTTTTGCAATTAAATCATAAAACTTGATTGTTCAATTATTTTTTAAACTAAATAATTTTCTATGTTACTGAAAGAATCAACAATGGACATTTACTACCATATCCCTTAGTTTTATATTAAGCATGTGATACCATGCAACTCAGAAAATGCAAAGACTTTGTCCTGCTTTTTCACGCTAATTCAAATCATTAACTTTGTTCAATATTTGCTAATATAAATCCTGTTACTACCTTTTAAATCCTACATTTACTAAAATATTATTTTCGGCAAATTTCTTCCTTTATACTTAGTTTATAAGCTAGTATGTAAGGTGCTATGTTAAATTTCTAAAAAGAGCCATTGTAAGGCACTGAGAAATAAAGAGACACCTCGCTTCTATCCCCTCCTCTTATAGCTGCAGAGCAGCTGTTAAGAACGAGAAGATACAAACAAGGTGCAATTGTGTATGGCAATAGACTATGAAATTAAAAAACAAAGTTGAAAAAAAAAAAAAAACGACCTTAACTTGACAAACCTGAAATAAATAAAAATTAGTAAGCAAATAAAATATTAAAAAATCAATTTGCACTCTCCTGTAATAAATAACGCAAAATTGATATAACTAAACAATATAAACTAATTTAATATAACAGAATAAAAATAGAAAGTAAAATGGCAATAATAATAACGTTAATAATAATTATAAATTCAACAAACTAAATGACTTAAGTAAAACTAATAAACTATGGAATATGGCCAGCAGATACCGAGAATTAAATTATAACAATTAACGTAAACGAAAGCAAATTGTCCGATAATTCTGCCCTTCACGACTGTAAATATAATAAAATCGAAAAAAGGGTGAAAATAAACGATGAATGTCTTAAATATCGATTAAATGTGAAAAGAAAAGCTAAACAATAACAATCATCGCATAAATATATCGACTAATAGGCAGACCTACAAGCATATAAGCGCACAAAGTAAAATCAAAAGTGACGCCAATTCAATCTACTTTTCTCTACGTGCAATCAAATATAAATTCGCTCTTGTTAAAAAGAATACCTTCACGGACCTAAATAAAACACAAAACTACAAAGTAACTCAAAACCAAAATGCAACTATCTTTATTCAAATAAAATAGAAAACTTTTAAATAAACAACAAGCAATTAAATCTCAAAATACGGTGGACCTGCAAACATATAGTCGAACAAAGCAAAACCAAAAGTGACGCCATTTCAACCTACCTTACTCTTCGCTTAATCAAAATATAAATTTGCATTTGCAACTAAGAATACCTGCACCGACATAAATAACACACAAACTATAAATTTAACAGAAAGCCAAAATGCAATAAACTTTATCCAAACTAAAATAGAAAACATTTAAATAAGCAACTAGCAATTAAACCTCAATATACTGAAGACCTGCAAACTCATTATTGAACAAAGTGAAACCAAAAGTTACGCCATTTCAACCTATCCTGCTCTTCGTATAACCAAAACATAAAATCTCACTTACAAATAATAATACCCTCACGGACTTAAATAAAACACAAAGCTACAAAAATTAACTTAAAACCAAATGCAATAAGCTTTATTCAAATCAAAATTATAAAAAAAAAAAAAAAAAAAAAAAAAAAAAAAAAAAAAAAAAAAAAAATAACAAGCAATTAAACCTCGATATATGACAACATGCTGAGCCCTGTTGGATGACCACTGATGGATGACCCGTGTGGATGACCCGTGTGGATGACCTTGGTGGATGACCCTGGTGGATGATCCTGATGACAGCTGCAGACACCTGGAAAAGACGAACGCAAAATTATTAATATTTTAAAATAGAATATACTTATAAGATATCAAACTAAACATAAAATATTCGCTAATTACTAATTTCTTATCTTACCTAATTACCTCTCATCAATTAATATCAGTTTTTTCTAGTTATATCTTTAATATTAATTCACTTCAGATATCGTACTACTCTGAAGAGCTAAGATACTTACTTGCTTTTCGCAATTAAAATCATAAAACTTGATTACAACTATAAGTAAAACTAAACAATTTTTTCTACATATGTTAAAGTCTAAGCTACGGCTATTAAATATCTGTTTTTTCTAGTTATATCTTTAATATTAATTCACTTCAGATATCGTACTACTCTGAAGAGCTAAGATACTTACTTGCTTCTCGCAATTAAAATCATAAAACTTGATTATAACTATAAGTAAAACTAAACAATTTTTTCTACATATCTTAAATTCTAAGCTACGACTATTTGCTACCTTTACTCTAGTAATTACATTAAACATAAGACACTATTCAGCTCAGAAAATGCAAAGACTTTGCCCTGATTCTTCACGAAAATTCAATTTACTCATTTTGATCAATATTACAAATTCTTAACCTGTAAATATTTGCTAATAACAAATTTATTATCTTATCTAGTAACCTCTCAGTAATTGATATCAGTGTATCTAATTAATATATTAATAATAGTAACTCTTATCATTTATTCTACTCCTATGAAAACGCTAAGATACTCCCTTGTTTTTTGCAATTAAATCATAAAACTTGATTGTTCAATTATTTTTTAAACTAAATAATTTTCTATGTTACTGAAAGAATCAACAATGGACATTTACTACCATATCCCTTAGTTTTATATTAAGCATGTGATACCATGCAACTCAGAAAATGCAAAGACTTTGTCCTGCTTTTTCACGCTAATTCAAATCATTAACTTTGTTCAATATTTGCTAATATAAATCCTGTTACTACCTTTTAAATCCTACATTTACTAAAATATTATTTTCGGCAAATTTCTTCCTTTATACTTAGTTTATAAGCTAGTATGTAAGGTGCTATGTTAAATTTCTAAAAAGAGCCATTGTAAGGCACTGAGAAATAAAGAGACACCTCGCTTCTATCCCCTCCTCTTATAGCTGCAGAGCAGCTGTTAAGAACGAGAAGATACAAACAAGGTGCAATTGTGTATGGCAATAGACTATACAAAGTTGAAAAAAAAATTCACTTCAGATATCGTACTACTCTGAAGAGCTAAGATACTTACTTGCTTTTCGCAATTAAAATCATAAAACTTGATTATAACTATAAGTAAAACTAAACAATTTTTTCTACATATCTTAAATTCTAAGCTACGACTATTTGCTACCTTTACTCTAGTAATTACATTAAACATAAGACACTATTCAGCTCAGAAAATGCAAAGACTTTGCCCTGATTCTTCACGAAAATTCAATTTACTCATTTTGATCAATATTACAAATTCTTAACCTGTAAATATTTGCTAATAACAAATTTATTATCTTATCTAGTAACCTCTCAGTAATTGATATCAGTGTATCTAATTAATATATTAATAATAGTAACTCTTATCATTTATTCTACTCCTATGAAAACGCTAAGATACTCCCTTGTTTTTTGCAATTAAATCATAAAACTTGATTGTTCAATTATTTTTTAAACTAAATAATTTTCTATGTTACTGAAAGAATCAACAATGGACATTTACTACCATATCCCTTAGTTTTATATTAAGCATGTGATACCATGCAACTCAGAAAATGCAAAGACTTTGTCCTGCTTTTTCACGCTAATTCAAATCATTAACTTTGTTCAATATTTGCTAATATAAATCCTGTTACTACCTTTTAAATCCTACATTTACTAAAATATTATTTTCGGCAAATTTCTTCCTTTATACTTAGTTTATAAGCTAGTATGTAAGGTGCTATGTTAAATTTCTAAAAAGAGCCATTGTAAGGCACTGAGAAATAAAGAGACACCTCGCTTCTATCCCCTCCTCTTATAGCTGCAGAGCAGCTGTTAAGAACGAGAAGATACAAACAAGGTGCAATTGTGTATGGCAATAGACTATACAAAGTTGAAAAAGTTGAAAAAAAAAAAAAAAAAAAAAAAAAAAAAAAAAAAAAAAATTCTTAGCTTCTACTGGTGTATCCATTCACAAACATGTCTACTCCAAAGACATGCGAGGAGAGCGAAGACGAAGACATTGATGTCGAAATGCCGCTTGACGACCGAAAACACGTGGCATCAACTGCACTGTCAAAGGTATTCAATAAAATCAAAAATGAAAGAAGCCTATCTTTACTCCCCTCAACTTCTCGGGTTGCTGCAGCCGCTGCTGCATCCCAGCAATTAAAATATAATGTTGTCCCAAAGCCAAAAAACAACTCAATTAAGACTTGTGAAAGCAATGAAAAAGCACCCAAGCGTGTTGCCACTAAGGGCAATAGCCCAAGAACAAATAAAAAACAAGTGCCGATAGACACCGTTGATGTCATTGATAGCGATTCCATTGATAGCTTTATGGAAATGGATGCTGATAATATTCAACCAAATGCAAAAGCCTCGGCCCAGGCCAATCATGTTAAACTCAATCCAGCCAAGAATTCAAAGGCCATTAGTGACATTCAAATAGCGCCCCCAAATGTCACAGACAAAACGCGCGACCAAATGATTCTTAAGCCTGCCCCTATGTATATATCAGGCTACAGCGATATTATCAAGCTGATTAATGACCTAAGTCAGATTATTGGTGAAGATAACTTCACCACCAAGCCGGCTGCAGGTCATGGATTCAGGGTGCAGTGTGTTGACATCCCTTCATATAGGAAGCTTAATAATTATCTCAAAGAAAATAACATTGAGAGTCACACATACCAGCTAAGAAGTGAGCGTGGCCTTAGAGTTATTTTAAGGTACCTCCACCACTCCACTCCAGACACATGGATCCGCGATCACCTAAGTAATTTGGGCCACTCAGTTAGGTTTCTCAGAGTTATTAAATCTCGCTTCACAAATCAGCCACTAGACTTATTTGAGGTTGAACTAGAGCTAAAAGAAAACAATGCTGAGATTATGAACCTCACACTCTTAGGTAACCAAAAAATCAGGGTGGAAAAGCCCAATAAGTCAACTGACGTGGCCCAATGCCACAGGTGTCAGCAATATGGACATACTAAAAACTATTGCCGTCGCCCCTTTATGTGTGTTAAGTGCGGCGAAGGCCACCCCTCAACCTCATGCGCAAAAAAAAAGGACGATCAATCCCCGGCAAAATGTGCAAACTGCTCTGGGCCGCATGCGGCCAGCTATAAAGGATGCTTAGCCTACAAAGAGGCCTGCAAAAAAAAGGAAGGCGAAAGCACATCCAGGGTAGATAAATTTATCAATGATCTGAGCAAAGCTGTCCCTAACTTAATCAGGCACGACTTAAGTAAAACAAATCCAAATCAAAACCTGCCCCCCACCCCTCGCCCTGTTGATGAAACAGCAATCTCATCACGCAGCTACTCAGCTGCCCTACGCCATGGACTTACTACTCACCCAATTAATTCAACTGATCCAAGCACTAGCAAACAGCGAGCATCCAGGCAAAATGTCCTAAACAGAGCACAAGCTAGCTTTTTGCGCAACAACTCCTTGGATCGGCCTGCTACTCATATTAGAAGTCGTAGTCTGAGTACAAGACGTAGCCAAGCCTCGCCTCCTTCAAATGAAATGCCATCGACTGACCCTAGACAGGATCAACTCATTAATCTGTTATCTACTAACATCCAATGCACTCTCAATTTCGAAAATAAGCTAAACAAACTCATAGAACTTATGACCACTCTGGCGGCCTCTATGCTGGCCAATAATGCTGCAAATGACAGAGCAAATGCCAACTAGCGAACTAAAGATCTCACTCTGGAACTCTGCAGGGCTATCGAATAAATTCGCAGAGCTCCATCAATTTATTGCTGACAAAGATATAGATGTTATGCTTATCTCTGAGACTCACCTTATTGATTCTGACTCAATTAAAATTCAAGGGTACTCTGCTTACACAGCAAACCATCCTTCTAATAGGCGAAGAGGTGGTGTTGCAGTTGTCATTAAAAATAGCATAAGGCACTATGCCCTCCATATTCCACCTACAGCGCGATGTCAATGTGCTGTTGTTTCGCTAAATCTCCTTCCCAGTAAAACCATTAACATTGCCTCCGTCTACTGCCCACCACAACAAAGATGGTCTGATAGTGATTTCCATGAACTGTTCTTATCCTTGGGGGATGCCTACATCATAGGAGGCGACTGGAACGCTCGAAGCCAGTGGTGGGGAAACTCACGCTCCTGTATCAGAGGAAGAAGCTTATTAAACTATGTTCACATGGAAAATCTGAGCATACTGGCTACCGGATCTCCTACTCACTTCCCATACAATCCCCGCCATTCGCCTTCCGCCATTGACTTCGCCATATATAAAGGCATTCGTCGCGAACTACTTCAGATTGAAGATTCTCATCACCTTAGTTCCGATCATCTTCCACTAATTATTTATTATCGTGAAGCTCCAGCTGTCAACACAATAAATAGCCATCTTCTAAAACTAAATGCGAATATTAAAACTTTTCAAAAGTATCTTGACGATCATGTCATACTCAACACTGAAATTAGATGTGCAGCAGATCTTGACCATGCAGTGGATATTCTTGAAAGAAACATCTGTGAGGCGGCTTCCCGAGCGAATCCTATTCCAGTGCCCTTCAACCGTCACACATCCAGGAAAGCTTTCCACATAGACAGACAAACCTTGCAAATGATTGAGCTGAGGAAATTGATAAAAAAGTATTTATTACGGAATCGCAACTTGCACGCAAAAAGCATTTGTTGCTGGCTATCAAATAGGATCAGGTCTGAGCTAAAAGCTTGCAAAATAAAATTTGAAGAAAAGTTATTTAGCTCCATTGACCCAACGGACCGCTATGCAATGCAAAAGCTGTGGAAATTGACAAACAATTTCAAAAGGCAGCCAGCACCAAACCTACCACTCATAAAGTCTAGCAGCGATGCTAGACCTGCGGACAGGGTCTGGTGTAAATCCACTGCTGAGAAGGCCGAAGCCTTTGCACTACACCTTGAAGAAAGGTTCAGCCCTATACTCACAGTATCTCAAACTGATCTTGTTGAGATTGAAACAGGTTTACGGCAAACAGCGCAAACTGATGAAGTCAGCTTTCGTCCAGTAAGAGTGTCGGAAGTAGCCAGCATCATCAAAAAACTTGAAAACAAGAAAGCGGCTGGAATTGATAAAGTAGATAATCATACAATTAAGTCACTCCCGTTAAAAGGCTTACTTTACCTCACTCTTATATACAATAATTCTCTTCGCCTTGGTCACTTCCCTTCCCGTTGGAAGCAGGCGCTTGTAAAAATGATACACAAGCCCGGCAAGCCCACGCATATAGTATCATCTTACAGACCAATAAGCCTACTATCGGGGCTTTCGAAAATTCTTGAAAAAATCATATTGAGCCGTATGATGGAACTAAATAGCGTCGTCAAGATAATTCCAAATCACCAATTCGGGTTTCGTAAATCTCATTCTGCTGAACAGCAACTTGGACGAGTAACCAAATTAATTCTACAAGCATTTGAAGCAGGCTCATATTGCTCAGCAGTTTATATGGATATAAAAGAGGCCTTTGACCGTGTGTGGCACACTGGGCTGCGCTATAAGCTAAAGAAGATTCTTCCCATGCCTTTAATGAGTATCCTTGATAGCTATCTGCGTGAGCGTACCTTTCAGGTTGAATGCCACAATGGTGTGCGTTCAGATCTCAAGCAAATAAATGCCGGAGTTCCCCAAGGTAGCATTCTAGGCCCAGTGTTATACAACATTTACACCAGTGACATCCCAGCGACTCCGCTCCACACAACCCATGGCTATAAAACTATGGTTGCCACCTATGCGGATGATATTATAATATTAATTTCCAATCTGAGGCAGAATATTGCTATCACCGAACAACAAAGATATTTAAATACCCTGGAAGCCTGGGCCAAAAAATGGTGTATTACTGTGAATCCGGCTAAGTCAAATCACATCATGCACACATTGAGACGAGTCCTTCCATACGAACCAGTCAAGCTAAATAACATTCCAATTAAAAACGTCACTAAGCATGTGTATCTTGGCGTTACTCTTGACTCAAAGCTGCATTTTGACCAACATATAAGCTCTCTGGAGGCCAAAATAAAAATACGTTCGAACAAGATCAACTGGCTAATTAACAGTCACAGCAAACTGCCCCTGAAAGTCAAGGTCATACTCTACAAACAACTAATCGCACCCATATGGCAATACACGCTGCCAGTCTGGGGTACTCTACTTTCTAACAGCCAGTTTGCCAGATTAAAGGTCATGCAGAGTAAGATTCTACGACTAATCACAGGTGCGCCGTGGCATGTATCCAATGAAACTATTCGTGCTGATCTACATGTCCCTACTGTCGAGGATATTTTTGTCAAAGCCTGTGCCAAATACTACGCCCACCTTCGCACTCACCCTAACCCAGAAGCAAGAAACATCGCTAACGATCCCTACGTACCCCAACGACTTTCTAGGCAAAGGTACTCGCACATAATACAAGGCCATCTGGCTGATTTAATTGATGCCCGTGATCAACAGAGACAAAATGCGCACAGAGATTTCGCAGCCAACTTTCTTACTGGCAGAAATCTTCCCACTTATGGTCCTATATCATGGCTAGAACATCAGCGTAATACTGACGCGCTTAATCGAGCTCAGAATCGTGAACCTCATATACACGACAACGACTTCGTTCATGTCATGCTGAGTACACCTAACAACAATGCCCACGGAGTACCGGATCTCATACTCTTACCTGTCCAGGATGACTCTATGGATAGCGGCCATTCGCCTAGGCTTCCAGTTTTCTCGCAAATCGCCTCTATTGATCTCACTGGTGATTCGGACTGATTGCATCGACTTGACTACGGCGAACAAAGACGCTATAACCAAAACGCTTTCCTGCATTAAAGCTGTGTTAGCAGTTTGATTGCAATCACTCCTAATTTAAACGCCATTTCATGCCCTCATATTGGCCACCCAAACAAACAAAACGCCTTCACTGGCACGCTAAATCTGTAAATAAAACACACCAGTAATCTGTTAACGAGCAAAACAAACAAACTACTTACCGACTCCTCTACTTGCACAATCCTGAAATAAATAAAACATAATTTATATAGCTAAGCAAAATAAGCTAACTTAATATTACTGAATAAAACAGAAAGCAAAATAAGAATAATAATAACATTAATAATAATTATAAATTCAATAATCTAAATGACCTAAGTAAAACTAATAAACGGATTTTGTTCAGCAGACACCGAGAATTCAATTGTAACAATTAACGTACAACACATCAGTAATCTGTAAACCAGCTATATAAACAAACTACTTACCGACTCCTCAATTTGCACTCTCCTGAAATAAATAACACAAAATTGACATAATCAAGCAAAATAAACTAATTTAATTTAACTGAATGAAAATTAGAAAGTAAAATAACAATAATAATAACATTAATAATAATTATAAATAACTAAAATATATATTAATAACTAAATAACACAAAATTGTCATTCTGTATTTAATTAAATATAACTGAATGAATGAATGAAATTTAAAACAACTGAATGAAAATTAGAAAGTAATATAACAATAATAATAATATCAATAATAATTATAAATAACTAATATATATATATAAATAACTAAATAACACAAAATTGAAATAATCAAGCAAAATAAACTACTTTAATATAACTAAATGAAAATTAGAAAGTAATATAACAATAATAATTTTTATAAATAACTAAAACGCTTTCCTGCTGTAAAGCTGTGTTAGCAGTTTGATTGTCTTCACTTATGAATTTAAACGCCACTCCATACCCCGATATTGGCCACGCAAACAAACAAAACGCCTTCCCGGGCACGCTTAATCTGGAAAAAATAAAATAAAAACACCAGTAATCTGTAAAAGAGCTAAACAAACAAACTACTTACCGACTCCTTAACTTGCACAAACCTGAAATAAATAAAACAAAATTATATAGCTAAGCAAAATAAAATAATTTAATATGTAAACGAGCTAAATAAACAAACTACTTACCGACTCCTCAATTTGCACTCTCCTGTAATAAATAACGCAAAATTGATATAACTAAACAATATAAACTAATTTAATATAACAGAATATAAATAGAAAGTAAAATGGCAATAATAATAACGTTAATAATAATTATAAATTCAACAAACTAAATGACCTAAGTGAAACTAATAAACTATGGAATATGGCCAGCAGATACCGAGAATTAAATTATAACAATTAACGTAAACGAAAGCAAATTGTCCGATAATTCTGCCCTTCACGACTGTAAATATAATAAAATCGAAAAAAGGGTGAAAATAAACGATGAATGTCTTAAATATCGATTAAATGTGAAAAGAAAAGCTAAACAATAACAATCATCGCATAAATATATCGACTAATTGGCAGACCTACAAGCATATAAGCGCACAAAGTAAAATCAAAAGTGACGCCAATTCAATCTACTTTTCTCTACGTGCAATCAAATATAAATTCGCTCTTGTTAAAAGAATACCTTCACGGACCTAAATAAAACACAAAACTACAAAGTAACTCAAAACCAAAATGCAACTATCTTTATTCAAATAAAATAGAAAACTTTTAAATAAACAACAAGCAATTAAATCTCAAAATACGGCGGACCTGCAAACATATAGTCGAACAAAGCAAAACCAAAAGTGACGCCATTTCAACCTACCTTACTCTTCGCTTAATCAAAATATAAATTTGCATTTGCAACTAAGAATACCTGCACCGACATAAATAACACACAAACTATAAATTTAACAGAAAGCCAAAATGCAATAAACTTTATCCAAACTAAAATAGAAAACATTTAAATAAGCAACTAGCAATTAAACCTCAATATACTGAAGACCTGCAAACTCATAATTGAACAAAGTGAAACCAATAGTTACGCCATTTCAACCTATCCTGCTCTTCGTATAACCAAAACATAAAATCTCACTTACAAATAATAATACCCTCACGGACTTAAATAAAACACAAAGCTACAAAAATTAACTTAAAACCAAATGCAATAAGCTTTATTCAAATCAAAAAAAAAAAAATAAAAATAAAAAAAAAAAAAAAAAAAAAAAAAAAAAAATAACAAGCAATTAAACCTCGATATATGACAACATGCTGAGCCCTGTTGAATGACCACTGATGGATGACCCGTGTGGATGACCTTGGTGGATGACCCTGGTGGATGATCCTGATGACAGCTGCAGACACCTGGAAAAGACGAACGCAAAATTATTAATATTTTAAAATAGAATATACTTATAAGATATCAAACTAAACATAAAATATTCGCTAATTACTAATTTCTTATCTTACCTAATTACCTCTCATCAATTAATATCAGTTTTTTCTAGTTATATCTTTAATATTAATTCACTTCAGATATCGTACTACTCTGAAGAGCTAAGATACTTACTTGCTTTTCGCAATTAAAATCATAAAACTTGATTACAACTATAAGTAAAACTAAACAATTTTTTCTACATATGTTAAAGTCTAAGCTACGGCTATTAAATATCTGTTTTTTCTAGTTATATCTTTAATATTAATTCACTTCAGATATCGTACTACTCTGAAGAGCTAAGATACTTACTTGCTTTTCGCAATTAAAATCATAAAACTTGATTATAACTATAAGTAAAACTAAACAATTTTTTCTACATATCTTAAATTCTAAGCTACGACTATTTGCTACCTTTACACTAGTAATTACATTAAACATAAGACACTATTCAGCTCAGAAAATGCAAAGACTTTGCCCTGATTCTTCACGAAAATTCAATTTACTCATTTTGATCAATATTACAAATTCTTAACCTGTAAATATTTGCTAATAACAAATTTACTATCTTATCTAGTAACCTCTCAGTAATTGATATCAGTGTATCTAATTAATATATTAATAATAGTAACTCTTATCATTTATTCTACTCCTATGAAAACGCTAAGATACTCCCTTGTTTTTTGCAATTAAATCATAAAACTTGATTGTTCAATTATTTTTTAAACTAAATAATTTTCTATGTTACTGAAAGAATCAACAATGGACATTTACTACCATATCCCTTAGTTTTATATTAAGCATGTGATACCATGCAACTCAGAAAATGCAAAGACTTTGTCCTGCCTTTTCACGCTAATTCAAATCATTAACTTTGTTCAATATTTGCTAATATAAATCCTGTTACTACCTTTTAAATCCTACATTTACTAAAATATTATTTTCGGCAAATTTCTTCCTTTATACTTAGTTTATAAGCTAGTATGTAAGGTGCTATGTTAAATTTCTAAAAAGAGCCATTGTAAGGCACTGAGAAATAAAGAGACACCTCGCTTCTATCCCCTCCTCTTATAGCTGCAGAGCAGCTGTTAAGAACGAGAAGATACAAACAAGGTGCAATTGTGTATGGCAATAGACTATACAAAGTTGAAAAACAGTTTGATTGTCTTCACTTATGAATTTAAACGCCACTCCATACCCCGATATTGGCCACGCAAACAAACAAAACGCCTTCCCGGGCACGCTTAATCTGAAAAAATAAAATAAAAACACCAGTAATCTGTAAAAGAGCTAAACAAACAAACTACTTACCGACTCCTTAACTTGCACAAACCTGAAATAAATAAAACAAAATTATATAGCTAAGCAAAATAAAATAATTTAATATGTAAACGAGCTAAATAAACAAACTACTTACCGACTCCTCAATTTGCACTCTCCTGTAATAAATAACGCAAAATTGATATAACTAAACAATATAAACTAATTTAATATAACAGAATAAAAATAGAAAGTAAAATGGCAATAATAATAACGTTAATAATAATTATAAATTCAACAAACTAAATGACTTAAGTAAAACTAATAAACTATGGAATATGGCCAGCAGATACCGAGAATTAAATTATAACAATTAACGTAAACGAAAGCAAATTGTCCGATAATTCTGCCCTTCACGACTGTAAATATAATAAAATCGAAAAAAGGGTGAAAATAAACGATGAATGTCTTAAATATCGATTAAATGTGAAAAGAAAAGCTAAACAATAACAATCATCGCATAAATATATCGACTAATAGGCAGACCTACAAGCATATAAGCGCACAAAGTAAAATCAAAAGTGACGCCAATTCAATCTACTTTTCTCTACGTGCAATCAAATATAAATTCGCTCTTGTTAAAAAGAATACCTTCACGGACCTAAATAAAACACAAAACTACAAAGTAACTCAAAACCAAAATGCAACTATCTTTATTCAAATAAAATAGAAAACTTTTAAATAAACAACAAGCAATTAAATCTCAAAATACGGTGGACCTGCAAACATATAGTCGAACAAAGCAAAACCAAAAGTGACGCCATTTCAACCTACCTTACTCTTCGCTTAATCAAAATATAAATTTGCATTTGCAACTAAGAATACCTGCACCGACATAAATAACACACAAACTATAAATTTAACAGAAAGCCAAAATGCAATAAACTTTATCCAAACTAAAATAGAAAACATTTAAATAAGCAACTAGCAATTAAACCTCAATATACTGAAGACCTGCAAACTCATTATTGAACAAAGTGAAACCAAAAGTTACGCCATTTCAACCTATCCTGCTCTTCGTATAACCAAAACATAAAATCTCACTTACAAATAATAATACCCTCACGGACTTAAATAAAACACAAAGCTACAAAAATTAACTTAAAACCAAATGCAATAAGCTTTATTCAAATCAAAAAAAAAATTTAAATAAAAAAAAAAAAAAAAAAAAAAAAAAAAAAAAAAAAAAATAACAAGCAATTAAACCTCGATATATGACAACATGCTGAGCCCTGTTGGATGACCACTGATGGATGACCCGTGTGGATGACCCGTGTGGATGACCTTGGTGGATGACCCTGGTGGATGATCCTGATGACAGCTGCAGACACCTGGAAAAGACGAACGCAAAATTATTAATATTTTAAAATAGAATATACTTATAAGATATCAAACTAAACATAAAATATTCGCTAATTACTAATTTCTTATCTTACCTAATTACCTCTCATCAATTAATATCAGTTTTTTCTAGTTATATCTTTAATATTAATTCACTTCAGATATCGTACTACTCTGAAGAGCTAAGATACTTACTTGCTTTTCGCAATTAAAATCATAAAACTTGATTACAACTATAAGTAAAACTAAACAATTTTTTCTACATATGTTAAAGTCTAAGCTACGGCTATTAAATATCTGTTTTTTCTAGTTATATCTTTAATATTAATTCACTTCAGATATCGTACTACTCTGAAGAGCTAAGATACTTACTTGCTTCTCGCAATTAAAATCATAAAACTTGATTATAACTATAAGTAAAACTAAACAATTTTTTCTACATATCTTAAATTCTAAGCTACGACTATTTGCTACCTTTACTCTAGTAATTACATTAAACATAAGACACTATTCAGCTCAGAAAATGCAAAGACTTTGCCCTGATTCTTCACGAAAATTCAATTTACTCATTTTGATCAATATTACAAATTCTTAACCTGTAAATATTTGCTAATAACAAATTTATTATCTTATCTAGTAACCTCTCAGTAATTGATATCAGTGTATCTAATTAATATATTAATAATAGTAACTCTTATCATTTATTCTACTCCTATGAAAACGCTAAGATACTCCCTTGTTTTTTGCAATTAAATCATAAAACTTGATTGTTCAATTATTTTTTAAACTAAATAATTTTCTATGTTACTGAAAGAATCAACAATGGACATTTACTACCATATCCCTTAGTTTTATATTAAGCATGTGATACCATGCAACTCAGAAAATGCAAAGACTTTGTCCTGCTTTTTCACGCTAATTCAAATCATTAACTTTGTTCAATATTTGCTAATATAAATCCTGTTACTACCTTTTAAATCCTACATTTACTAAAATATTATTTTCGGCAAATTTCTTCCTTTATACTTAGTTTATAAGCTAGTATGTAAGGTGCTATGTTAAATTTCTAAAAAGAGCCATTGTAAGGCACTGAGAAATAAAGAGACACCTCGCTTCTATCCCCTCCTCTTATAGCTGCAGAGCAGCTGTTAAGAACGAGAAGATACAAACAAGGTGCAATTGTGTATGGCAATAGACTATACAAAGTTGAAAATTACTCAATTTATTATTAAAGCGTTTGATGACCGCAAATACTGCTCTGCTGTCTATATGGATATCAAGGAAGCCTTTGATCGAGTGTGGCATACAGGCTTGAAGTATAAGCTTAAGAGGCTTTTGCCGGATGCTCTCTATCGCATCCTCTGTTGCTATCTAGCAGATCGCACTTTCATTGTTGAGTGTCACGGTGGCTGTCGCTCAGGAATCAAGCAAATTAACGCTGGTGTGCCACAAGGTAGCTTGCTCGGGCCTATCTTGTACAACATATACACCAGCGACATACCAAGGCCAACTTGTCTGCGTGGGATTCTCATTGCTACTTATGCTGACGACGTCATTGTCCTATCGACAGACTTTCGCCAAGCAGATGCTCTTAATCAACAGCAAGCTTACATGGATAGATTGGCTGAATGGGCGAGCAAGTGGTGCATTACAATAAATGCAAACAAGACTATGCATATCATGCATACTCTTAGAGTCATAGCGCCATATCAGGCGATTCGCATTGGCAACGAAACTGTTGAGAATGGCACCTCACATTCGTATTTGGGCGTTACTCTAGACACAAAACTACGATTCTCACAACATGTCACTACGGTCGTTACTAGGGTCAGGGCTAGGCTTAAAAAGATAGATTGGCTCATTAACAAAGATAGCAAATTGACGCTCAGAACAAAAGTCATTATTTACAAGCAGCTAGTTGCTCCACTTTGGCAATACTCGCTGCCTGTATGGGGCGCTCTGCTATCTGAGGCGCAATTCAGCCGCATTCGAGTCGTACACAACAAAGCTCTGAGAGCCATTTCTGGTGCTCAGTACTTTGTTTCGAACGCGCGCATCAGAGCTGAGTTGCAAGTCCTGTCTGCGGATGATATATTCAACAATCTCTGCGCCAAATACTATGATCGACTCCGGGTCCATACCAACAACTTGGCCAAAAACATTGCCTATGACCCGTTCATCCCACAGCGGATAACATTGGCAAGATACACGAGTCTCGTAAACACGCATTTGGCCAATGACATTGCTCTACGCACCCAGCGACAACTACAACGGGAGGCCGATGAAATAGCTGAAAGTAGGGAGCGATTCCTTCGCCGACGGGAGGCTCAGCAACACAACGAAGCTGCACAAGCAGCAGCCCACCAGCCGCAACGGCTACCTGTCTTCGAGGGTATTGCGCCAATGCCGCTGCCACTACCACCACCATCACCACTTGCTGCCTATAGGGTCCTATTTAGATCACATAGGGATCAGTCATAAAATTTGCATTTAATGCAATTTCCAATCAGCTGTTTTAACTTTTTGTAATTTAAGCTAATTTTAGCTCAAGCCCATACTTGAGAAAATGACCAGACTTTGTCTCGACTTTTCTCTTTTATTCCAATTGGCCACTTTGGGCTACTTTTCTCTGTGCATCTTGTAGATGCTTATTAATGAAATAATTGAATTATATTAATTAATGCCATCTATTACTATTGTTAAACTTAAATTTTACTTATCTATTTAGTCGTTAATCAGTTACTCAAGCACTTTATTGTTAATTTCTATTATCTTTAAATTGCTCTATTATAAGTATTTTGTAAAATTAAGCTGCACTGTTATTTTTGTGCACTTATGGCCATTTAAATTTAATCATGTAATGATAAGTTTCGACAAATATAGTCCTTTTTTAGATTTTAATTATCTCATAGGCGCTATTTATATTCATAAGAAATGCTATTGTGAAGTATTAATTGAATAAAAAGTATCTCCGTACTATCTTCCCCTCGCCATGCAGCTGCTGGTCAGCTGATCATGTATGAGATGCGAAGAAACGGAGATCATCAATGTGTGTTCTCTTGTAACATACGAACAGAAAGCGCCTTTGGCGTGTGTTTCTTCCAAATGCTATTTAGAAATGGATGACGCAAATTCATTGGATACTGACTCTTTCGTGGATGTCGAGGCATTGGATTCAGATTCAATGAACTGCGAATCTGACGATGACACTGATATGTTCCTTTCGGACATTGAAGCTATTGAGGCTAGTCAGCGCTCAATAGCCGTCACTAAAGTTAAGCAGATGCTAAATCAGGCATTAGCCAGCCAACATGGTAATCAAATGAAGACAAAAGCGACCAAGCGTCCAGCAAAAAAGGGTTCTAGCCCAAAAACGACCAAAATCAGATCTAATGATGTTGCACCAAATGGAAACATTGGCAGTCCTCCAAGTAGACTTGATTCGGATGATGAAGAACACCCGGAAGCTACTTGCAAAACTAAAACTAAAATAAGTGATTCAGCTACGAATCAGTCAACAATTACCAATAAGGAAAGTTCAAGGCCACCTTCCATATATATTCCGGATGTTCCTATGATCATTCCATTCATTCAAGGGATCAATAAAGTTATTGATCATACCTCTTATTTTGTAAAGACTACCTCAGGACGTGGATTGCGCATTCAGTGCCTTAGCATTGACTCCTATAGGAAGCTTATTCATCATTTTGAAGACATAAACCTAGAATCTCATACTTTTCAAATCAAGTCTGAGCGTGGATTCAGAATTCTTATTAGACATTTACATCGAAGTACACCAATTGAGTGGATCAAAGAGGAGTTTGCTAAACTGGGGCATACAGTTCGATATGCAAATAACATCAAAAAAAGGTTCTCTGGCCAACCACTTGACTTATTTGAAGTTGAAATTGAGGCTAAACCCAACAATAGTAGTATATTAGTTACTACCTTGCTGGGTCATCAGGAGGTCAAGATAGAGAAATCACTGCATAACATAGATGCTGTGCAGTGTCACCGTTGTCAAAAGTTTGGACACACCAAAAATTATTGCCGCAGACCTTTTATCTGTGTAAAATGTGGTAATAACCATCCATCTACTGAATGTCCACGTCAGAAAGGGAGCTTAAGCCAGCCACCTAAATGTGCAAATTGCCTTGGCGAGCATGTTGCCAGCTATAAAGGCTGCAAGTCTTTTAAAGAAGCATGCAAAATCAAGGAGTCAACAAAATTGCAACAAGCAAATAGGCTTGTGGTTGATTTGATGCATCAGGGTAGCCTTAGCAATAGTGCTGCTACTGCTAAAATCATTAATCGACATATTGACAATTCTAAATCAACCAAATCTGCTCAGTCGTCAAAACATCTGACAATACAGCAAGTAATGCGGAACCATCAAGCTAAATTGCAGCAGCAAGCTCAAGAGCCTCGAGTGGTTCCCACAAATATGTCCAAGCAATCGCAGCAACAAGGTCAAAAGTCTGCTGGCCTGCTTTCAGCTAAATTGGTAGAAAAATCGAGTTATGCTGATGCAATAAAAATGGGCATAACTAATAAGCAAAAACCATCTACTGCAGTAAAAACGCAACAAGGTCAGCAAGTACTGCAGCGTCAACAAAATGCTCAACCAGTACCTATAAATCTGAACAATCAACACCAACGGTCACTTCAGCAGTTGCGCCAAATTCGATCAAATGATGGTCATGGACATGAAGACGATCAACATGCCAGCTGGCGATTTAGAAGTCGTAGCCGTAGTAATGCTCGGCTCACTGTTAATAATGATAGCGATATCAAAACATTAAATGCAAAGTTTGATACCTTAATTGAGTTAATGCTTGATGAGCGCAAACGATCTGTTCCCATGGAAGTCAGTAGTATAGAAAATCTTAATGCGAAGATGGATCAGCTTATTACTATGTTGACTTTATTAACAAACTGCATGATGGCTAAACACGTCAATGACACATCCAATATTGCCTAGTTCTCTTGGAAGCACTTACACATTAAGGATTCTGGTTTTGAATGCAGCTGGTCTGTATAATAAACTGGAAAGATTTTGAATCCCAAACAGGATACCAGTTCCAGAAGAGATGACGTTTCCAGACAGGATGCCATTCCTAATCAAGATATCTATACATTCACTAACACATAATTAATCAAACTACTTTTGTATTTCACTTCACATTTAATGTAACACTCACATTTGAGACCTACACACAATAGGCGTCAACAAATTTACTATATTATACAGTAGTATAGCAGTAAATAAATAAATATAGTCAGTCAGTCAGCCTCATGCGGACCTGACTATTCAAATCAAATCAAAGGTAGAAAAATCGAGTTATGCTGATGCAATAAAAATGGGCATAACTAATAAGCAAAAACCATCTACTGCAGTAAAAACGCAACAAGGTCAGCAAGTACTGCAGCGTCAACAAAATGCTCAACCAGTACCTATAAATCTGAACAATCAACACCAACGGTCACTTCAGCAGTTGCGCCAAATTCGATCAAATGATGGTCATGGACATGAAGACGATCAACATGCCAGCTGGCGATTTAGAAGTCGT